GAAAATGTGTGCTCTGGAAGGGCAGACCAACCACCGTCTTCTCCGCGTCAAAACGTAAACTCGACCTCGCTGACAAGGAGGTCAGTCAGAACCAGGTTGAAGACGAAGGAGACGTGTTGTACCTCATCTCCGACGCCGACAAGAAGGAGTTTACCAACTGGACTAAATTCCGCGAGTTGGCTAAGCGTGAAAACATGGTTCCGCGCATTGTCAAGACGGAGTGGCTGCTTGCTGTGGCGATGACGCAGTATGTGCACTGGACTCCGGAGTGGGAGTTGAGTGAAGAGGTTGTTAATGCTGCGAAGAAGTAGGTCTTCGCTTGTCGCAACTGTTCAACGGCTGATGATGGGTTGATTCTGTATAGACTCGCTTCGTGCGGTCGCGATATGGATGCGGGTATCTGTATTGGTATGTTTTGAGCGGTTTAGTCATTGTTTTGTGTTGCATTGTTAGCGATAGGTCTACGGATGGGGCAGCGTGTAGAGCGCTGGTTTAGCATGTATATCGAGAAAGCTTCACGTTGACTCATTACTGTGTGCACATATTTCAGCTTCCTACTTCACCGCCACGGTGATATCATGTGTGGCTACGTATCCCCTTTTCTTCCGTTCATTGTTATCAAGGCTAACATATCCCCTGTGGCACATTCTCTTGGCTCGATCCGCGGGTGCGGTAACGCGTACGGCACAGTCGGGCCATGCAAGAGGTCTTTGTGGCACAGCGATCCCCTGTGTGAACTTCGCCGCTTATTGAACTGTGCCGTGGGTCTGTGTTTGGGCTGTTGATCGGTGATGCCGAGATCGCCTTGGAGATGGCTTTTGGATATGCGTCAGTGATGTAGAGGGTGTTTGTCCAGACGTGATCGGACGTGCTACTCCTCTTTGGGATGTACTTCGAGTATAATATCTATGACATTGACTGTAAGGCGAAGTCCTTTGTTACGAAATCAACGAACTCTCAGCTGGCTGGTTTGAGGTGACCGGCACAGAACAACGCATTCTCGGCTTTGTGCCCTGATAAGGATGTAGGAGCTTTTCTGCTCATAGAGTCAAATAGCTCTGGAGTGAATTCAGCATCGAGTATGATGTCATTTAAAGCTTACATGTCTCGTCCTAGACCAGAGCTTTTACCGGGGCTGGGGATCGATGCGCGTCGTTAGTGCTCACTCCGAGTGAGCCGAGATGCCAACACATACAACAACGACCAGGCAACCGGGAAGAAGAATTTGGGGGCGAGTATACATAGTAGTATATGCTAGACGTAATATAGTGATGAAGTCAACTGTTAGTTAACGGCCTGGCATAAGATCAAAATAGATTGTTCAACTTTTTGCTTTCATAAGAGATGAGATAGAAGTGTCTAGATAATACTCGACTGCGTGTTATGTTAGGTGCAGGAGCGTAGACAGGGTATATAATAATGCTTGTGCAGAAAAGATCGCGGAATCGCGAAACAACAGAAAGAGAAAGTAAGACATTTAAACCTTCAACTCGTAAACCTCCCCTTGACCCTTTACCCTAAAGGTCTACATGTATGTCCCTACCCCTTCTCTACTCTGACGTCGTATGAATGATCTTCGGAATCTGTGGCATCGCAATCATAGGCGTCGACTCGTAGTATCGCGCCCGTTGACTAGCTGTACTCGTACTGCGTGCGCGCCCTGTCGGTGCCGGCCGTAAACTCATGTCACCCTCGTCACCACTCGGCGATATGGGACTGAGTACCATAGTACTAAGCGTCCCGTTACTCTGTCGGCTCATCGCACTAACACCCGTACCAGCGCTCTCCGTGTTATCGGCGATGGGATCACTAGCCTCCTCACTCGGCGTGACCTGTAGTGGGACGAGATGCATGGTATCCGTACTCGATCTCTTGTTGCGCGCGTCCGCCTCCGAGTCGACGTATAATGTGACGCTGCTTGCGCGGACGCGGCTGAACATGCTGGTCTTGTCTTCGTTGGCGAGGAGGCCGGCGGTGTCTGACTTGCGGTTGTCGAGCTTCTTCTTTTCGCGAAGGCGGTGGAGATAGAAGATTAGGCAGGCGAGGATTATGGCGAGGAAGATGAGGCCAAAGACGACGGTGAGGGCGATGTTGGCTTTTGTCCAGTACCCTGAGTAGGGTACTGAAGCTAGGTCTTCGTCTGCGACAAGGTTGTTGTCCACTGGTATAGGTGACATGGTGGTGTGTGTTGGTGTGTGCGATGGTTCTCAAGTTGGATCTGTTGGTGAGGCTTCAGATGGTTGGCGAAGCTATTCGTGTATTTGTAGTGCTAAATAGGAGGCGATGTGGCGGTGCGATGAAGAAATAACAACTACTACGCCTCGAAAATATGATGATATATGGCTATGAGACTGTTGAGACGAACTTGCTCGAGTAATCCCTTATGTGCTATTGCTATGAACTGGTACCGGGCACCAGGCAGACATAAGTCTCTGCGTAAAATGAAACCTTTGACGCACCGGCCTTAGATCCTGCGCCCATGGCGCTGGATCCGTGAGAAGGCGTCCAGTATGCGGCTCGAAAGTGGGAAAGATATGCTCAGCCTCAGCACGTTGTGGGGAAAGTAGGCCCATGAATTCGGAGAAAAGTCACTGCGCCCCTGTGGTATGATGAGCAGCTTGGCGCAAAACAAGAGGCCTAACGAATGATGGGCGTCGAGAACGGCCGTCGAAGCTTGGACTACCGCGTCTAATCGAGGAATCAGAAGGAGCTGTGTGGCAGTTTGGTGGTGGCACGGGTTCGTAGACGGCGGTGACGGGCGTGCATGTCGGGGCCCCATCTACTGTCAGTCCACTTGGGGATGGTTCTCTACCGCGTGCGAGCCACGTCCGAGCGGTTTCGCTCGTTCTGTCTACGCAGCTGAAGCTATCACTTCAGCTCGTGGAACCATACAAACTGAGTGGCTGCTCTTTTGAACAACTCCCCATTCCAGCTTCCTGCCACACAACATCAACACAGATTCGGCGGCCCAATACGAGGGCCTCTACAAAGACAGTGATGTGCCAAAGGGTTGTGCTGTAGGATCAACGTTTCGAAATTTAGGCAAGCACAGCCACCTGCGCTAAAAGAAATGAGCAGCAACAATCATGAATCGACACAAGGCTGAGCGCCTTACACTTCCTCTGCGTGTCTGCCTGAGCCAAGCCCAAGGAGGATTGGACGGCGACGTGGGCAAATTGTGGGGTGAGAATAGGCGAACTTGTTGCGGTAAAGGAAAGCCATGATGCGAGTTGTCAAGCTCCCGCTGCGGCGCGTCATTGTAGAGATCGTGGGATGGGACTTGGTGGCTACTGGACGCCACAAGCAGAGTATTTGCGGCGTGTCTGCGGCGACTATGCGGCGGGGTGGTGTCAGACCCTCATCTCATGCGTGCGCTGGCTGGTGAGTGGGAGCTTGCTGGCCAACGGGTGTGGTGTTGACGACGGCTGGCCTAACAACAGCGGGACGATGGGCGATGTTGGCTGACCCAACTAGCGTTCTCGCTAAAATGCGGTGCTATTCCTGGATCATGTCACGCCTTTGCGGTCAAATCTCGCTAGCTTTCTCGCTCTACACCGATAACTGTGAAAGCGTAGATACAGTCTGGTATCAATGTTTTCTTTTGGTGCTTACTGTACAGCTGCGAGCAAGATGTCAAGGCAACATTCGCTGTTCGTAGGGATGCACTCAGCAGCCGTCTGTGGTTGTGAGACCTCACACGACCAATTAGGGTTTGCCGCATGGCATCCTTGAGCTGCAAGAGTTGATGAACTCATGTTGATCTTTACTTCCCCTCTTTCTACATCAACCCATATCTAACGTCTCTTCCTCCCTTTCTATCTCCAAAAAAGGTAGCATCATCGTAATTCATGATGTATTCCCCTCCATACATGTTGTTCCATCGTCCGAAAGGCTACTCCTGGAAAGAGGGTACTAACCCTGCTTTACAACGGCTTTCTACCCTCAACGATGCACCTGATGATCTCCTTCCATCCCTCACTATCAATGTGTCGCAGCCTGACGCTCTTATGACCTGGCTCGAGACAAACAACGCTTCCTTGATCTCAGACCTTAGCGTCCATGTCGACGCGACCGACGCCGCACTTAGTGCTCAGCGATGGTGCTTGCTTTTCGACAAACTTCAACGAGAGGCAACCAACATTCAAAACCTGAAGGTCTTCTGGGATGCAGAGGTCATCGAGGATCATCACATTGGGCTAGGCAGAAGCGTCGTGTTTGTACGTGGGCTTGCACAACTCAAGGTGGAGAAATCGTTGGAAATTGCTGGCCAATATGCAATGCACTGGCCGGGATACTTGGAGGAAGAGATGGGGTTGAAGCCAGTTAATAAAGATATCTTTCCAGGCAGTCCATGGGTAGGCATCTTGAGGAAGTATCAGAGAGGGACCGAGAGCCGGAACCCCCGTGTTAACACTGAGGATGGAATTTGGGACGTCCCGAGACGAATGGACTCCACCAATCCCTTCTTCCTGTTACTTTCTTGATTTCCCTGTTCTGGCGATTCTGCTGTTTGGTTTGCCTTAAAGTCGGCTAAGGATTCGCCTACACGCTTATTTCGGAGGGTTAGGCAGCAAGCGAGGTCAAGGAATGTTAATCTTTGCGGCGATACTATTGTCGTGGTAGTTCTAGTTCATACATATCGCTTTACCTCTTTCGGAAAGAGCGTCTAACTACTACCCAAACATCTTTCCACCTTATACAAGAGGGAAACACAACAAGTCTAAACCGGCCCTAAAGTTTTGATTCATTCTTTTAGGTTAGTGTGTTTCAACCATCAAATATATATCCATCCCATAACCCGATACTAGAAAAGCCCTGACCCAAAAGGATACCCACCATGAACATACTCCCTAACCCACTCAGCCCTCACAATCTCCTTCAACAGCATCGCACTCCCCCCCTTCTCCACCCCATCAATCCACCTCTCAATATATTTCCCATCACCCGCCTTACCAAAATGCTGCACGCACTGTTGAAACCCTACTTTCAGTTGACTAGCCTCATGTACATCGACCCATTCCGGACAGATCCGTTGCATCTCTTCCAGGAAAAAACTGTTGAAGCTTTACTTGCGTTTTGTACTCCTCATTAACATATTCGATGTTGAGGTAGGCGAACACTGCTGCGGTGGAGTCGGTCAAGTCTAGGAATGAGGGTAATTGGCATGCGAGCCATAAGGGGGCGGTGTGCGCGCATTCCCAGTCGAAGATACCGGTTAAGGAGCCGTTGGAGTCGACGAATATGTTGGCTGCGTGGAGGTCTTGGTGGTGGAGCACGAATACCTCTTCCTCCGCCTGCTCAGGAAAAACCTTCGGTATGAGATCAAGTAGGCGCTGCGCTCGCTGCTTAGCTTCTTCGACCTTTCCACGGGCATACTTAAGGTGCGGATCTGTATTTATTCTATCGATTTGTTTCTTCCATATGGCGGTAGCCGCTTCGTCAGGCTCGCCGGGATAAGAATCGATGATATTTTGGTATATCGAGCGCTTGATTTCGTCGGAAGTTTCAAGCTTGGACTCGTCGTCAAGATCAAGGAGGCTGAGTTGGAGTTGTGCGGTAAGCCAGTCTTGACTGCGTTTGTAAGGACCGCGCGGGACGTTGTGGTCGATGTGTGCGCCCCAGAAGAAGGGCGCGGAGACGATCTTGCCTAGGCCGACATGCTGAGAGAGGATTGAGGCTTCTAGTGTAAGTAAGGCGATATCGTCTAGGCCTGGCGTACGTAAATGGGGGAGTTCATTCGCAGGGTACAGGTTTCCCAGTTCGTTGAATCGCTGTTGGAAGAGCTGTGCGTAGACGGAGACCATCTTAAGCACTAACTGCTCTTTCTTGAAATAGTCTATACCCTCCCACTCATCACCCAGCTTGCGGCCGGGCATACGCGCCCTGAGTATCCACTCAAGTCCAAGTTCGTTGTCGGTACTAGCCTGGTAGCAGAAGACCTGTGGTACTGGAACCTCAGTGTGATGACGGATGTACTCGATAGTAGCCACCTCGCTCATAGTCTTTGATCGTGCGTCGACAGGGACGGTTAGACGCAGGATGTATTCTTGGCCGCGGCCACATGTGACGGTGTAATCCTTGTCGAAGTTGTTCTGGGTTAGGAAAATTGAACTACGCATGGGTCTGGAGTCGGGATCTTCAGCTCTCGTCGCACGAGGGTTGTGATGTCCTCAATGCTGGGGTCGGTTGTCCACTCGGGCATCACTCCTGAAGACCGGTCTTTCTTCCAGCGAAGACCTTTTTGGGTAGTTACGGGCATGCCAACAAGAGTACTCATTTTGATGACAGTAGTGGTGTTGGAATGTTTTTGACTGGAATGGCGAAGTGATGATTTTGTCCTTCTTGTAGGGGAGGGGAGATGGAATGTGCGAACTAACACACTGCTTACTCAGAAGATTATCACCTTTCACAACAGTGGCGTTAAAGCTCAGAGCCTTGTAGGTGCTCTTGCAGTGCGGAGGCTCAGCTGTATAGTATCACGAAGGTTAGGAGCGGAGGATAGGGCGATATTGATCATTTCATGCTCGCTGTAGATAAGATAACGGGCGAGACTATTTCGTTGTCGCGAACGACGTTGTTCTACGCATGTACTTTGTGGACTTCCTTATCCATCGAGACAAAGAGAAACTACCAGAAAAGGAAAAGATGCAACCCACGACCATAGGTCATACTGCTGATGATATGCGCCGTCCCATGCAAGATTGACAAAAGATCGTTGACAATGAAAAATATTGCCGATTTCCGAGAGAGAGCCCCCAATGCTATTCCGTCTGCGTCAACACGCCTTTCTTCCTCTTCTAATCCAACGAAAACTTCTCCCTCTTCCAGGTCTCGCGGTACACGGCAATGGTACTCGCGGCGTCCTTGCAGCGCTCTGGTGCACGGACGGGTAGGTCGACGACAGCGCGACGCAGGACGCCACGCGCAGGTACGCCGTAGAATTGGATGAACTTCTTGTGGTAGTCGCGGATCAGGCCGCTGAGAACGGCGAAGTGTCCAGGCCAGAGTTGCTCGGAGGGTGTGTTGCATATCGAAGAGATGGCACGCCAGTACTCTGACATGGCGATGGCAGGCGCCTTGGCGGCGAATGAACGGAGGGACATAGAGGCGTAGCCAGCTCCGATACCGCGCATGCGCTGCGAATATGTCTCTGGGGTTGAGTCCTCTTGCCAGCCTAGGCGCAACCGACCTTCCTTAGTGTTCATAGTACCGCGGATGCCAAAGAGAGGGGGGCAGGCCTTGTGTAGCTTAGCCAGCGCAATGTCGATGAGAGGAAGGCCGTTCCACATGTACTTCTGGTCGCCGAATAAGCTGGCTGCTATCAAACCGATCTCCTGGATGATACGTCCGTCGGTGTTGGCAGCCTCCTTTTCGAACTGCTTTACAAGGAACTTCTCGAAGCAGATCCAGACGTAGAGCAGGAACGCCGGGTATGCGGCTTCGTTCTCGTTGGCCAGCTGGGGAATTTGGTGGGAGACAATGTATTGTCGGATGTCGACCATGGGTCCGGGTGTTGTGAGGGCGATGTCGAAGCATTCGGTTCGGAGGCGCTTGATGGCGGCGACACTGTCCTTGCGCTCCACTGTGATCTGGCCAAGTCGAGTGCGGATGGCGCGTCGGGCATCACCAACGGGACCCTTGAGTGGGGAGGTTGGCTTCTTGTGTTCCTCCCAGAAAGCTTTGCGGAAGGCCTTCATGCGCTGGTGGAGTTCGAGGTATTTGGCGTGGATCTGATCGGCGCTGGTGCTAGTTGCCGGTGCGGCGGTGGATGGCTTTGGTGGTGCAGCTGCTTGTGTGGGAGCCGGCGCGGGGGTGGGCTGAGCGGTTGGCTGCTGTGGTGGTGCTTGCTGTCGAGCCTTCTCTGCAGCGGCCGCAGCCTCGGCAGCCTTCCGATCAGCTTCGTCCTTTTCCCTCTTCTGCTTCTCAGCGGCCGCCTGCTGCTCTTGCTGGGCTTTGATGCGGGCATCGGCCTGTTGAAGTTTGAGCTTGTGCTCTGCGGCTTGACGGGCGGCTTCTTCCTCGCGCTGTCTTGCTTCCAGAGCCCTTCGCTGAGCCTCGGCTTGCTCGCGGGCCTTCTCCTGCTTCAGGCGCTCAATCTCCTGCCGTTGGGCCTCTTCATGGCGAAGGCGCGCCTGCTCTTCTTCCAGGGCAATGCGTTCGATCTCAAGCTTCGCGCTCCTGAAGACGCGCTCGTGTTCCTCGGCAGCGTAGGCGAGTTGTTGGGCATGTTGTTTCGCGCGCTCGTTCGCAGCTTGGTCCAGCTTCTCGTTGAACTCGCGGTCGGATATGCTGAGGCGGAGGTTGAACTCGAGGGCTAATTGCTTGGCCGGGCTCTCATAGGGGTCGCGGATGAGGGATTCGCGCTTTTGGCGGTGACTGCTGCGGCGATTCGGCGATTGGCGTGTTGGCGAGGCGTCCATGAAGCTGGAGCTGAAGGAGGTGGCGGTATGCATGCTCGACGACGAGGTGCCCGATCTGGCGGGCATTCTGGCGCCGTGACGTTAGTTGGGGTCAGGGTGCAGTTGTTGAAAAGGTGGTTGGTGAGAGCGCGACGGTCAAAGAAGTCTAGTCGGAAGCTAGCAGCGACCAGCTCCGACTCACGTGACATCGCTCATCCCTGCAGCAGCTTTCACCGCGCTACGCAGCTCCATTGTAGTGCTGGCTAGCGTACCTGGACATCAATTGATCAACGGGTCGCGCACTTTCGAAGTCGAAGCACTCGCTCGATGTCTGACGCCGTGACGTAACTTCATCCGCAGCTCCACCTGGGCCGTCGATTGATTAAGATGAGATGGAGTCAAGGACGCTGAGTCGCGCCTTGGGCAAACACGCCATGTTGCGCCTTTCATAAAGTTCACAGGATGCGTCTGTGCCCAAGCTGGTGGGACTGCACCCGCCAAGCTGCGACGCTGTGAGGGCACGCGCAGGCCCTGGAGAGGGCCGTTTCACTGACAGAATGTGACAAGCTGGGGAACGATGTGACTCCTGTCCTCGAGTTTCAGCGCGGCATGGCGCGCGAAGCCAGCATATCTGTCAGATTGTTGGACTATCGAATGCCGGACATGACAAGCTCGCAACCCCAGCGCAGTGGATCCATCAATATAACCTCGACCCTTGCGCCGCCCTCCCGCGACGCTGCAGCGGACTGTTGTTCGTGTCTAGAAACGCGCGCCGGCTAAGCCTGCCTTGAAACGTACAGACCCAAACGTGATGCTTCACCTGGGGCGCGCTGAGACGCATGCCGACTGCTGCTGGCGGTATATATACCAGCGCGCGGCCGGCAGCGCCTCAGCCCCCACGGCCCGGCGCTTGCTTGTATCTACGTTAATTTCTCACTCCTTCAGTTCGGCGCGGGAAGCTGCATATCTGGCTTCGCAAGTGACGTACGCCGCTTAGACCTCTCCCAGGCTCGCTCGTTTGCGGAAGAACAGGCGATCTTTGCCCAAACCGTGCTGCTGGCCAAGTCCCGCCATAGCCATCACCACCTCGAGCACGCTGACGGCCCTCTTGCCTGCCCTCTGCCCTCTTCCTGCATCCCTCCTGCCCGCCCGCCCCGATCGCTCCCTCCTTCGAAGCATTCTCTCCGCCCGCATTTTGGTTGTACTGCCACCAACAGCCCGCCCCAGGGAAACCGCGCTCTTTGATCTGGTCGACCCTCCTTATCAACCCTCCTAGACCAACGACACATCTGTCTGAACACGACACCACCCGCTTCTGACTTGCAGAGCACCACCCCGAGTAATCATCGTCTACGAGAGTATCCTCTTCGCCCCGAGCACCGCCCAACCAGCACGCTTACCCCAACGTGAGTTGTCCCCCGCTAGCTCGCTCGCTGAAGCATGCCGCTGCCGACCCTGCATCTGTCCCCCATCTGCCTCCTTACACTCTCACCACCTGCATCCCTTCACTCGCTCGCTCGCTGCAGACATCATCCAACCCACGATGCTGATTGCTCGCAGATAAATCCATCACACTTTTGACCAATTCGTGTCCGACCGTCTCTTCTCCAACAGCATACACTGCAAGCGGGCATTGAATCATCCACACTACATTATCCACTATGGATCAGCAACAAGGCCAGCAGGGCCCCATGGGTCCCGCCGGTCGTCGTCTGCACATTGCGCATCGCCGCAGTCCGTCAGAGCTGACACCGCTGATGAGTACGTGGAGCTATCCGATAGCCACTTTGGGCCATTGCTGACAGCTGTACAGTGGAACAGCTCGCCATCGCACAGCAGATCGAGGTCCTCCAGCAACAGCAGCAGCAGATTGCCGCCACGCACCAGCAATATGTTAACATGGGCATGATCCAGCCGCAGCAGCAGCTCGGCAACTTCCAGATGCAGGGCCAGATGCCCAATGTCTCGCCCCAAGTCAACAACTACCAGTTCCCCCAGCAGATGCAGCAAATGCAGCAGCAGCAACACCTCGCTGTCCCCATGGGCGCACCAGCCCAGCCTGGCGCCCACCGCCGCAACCAGTCCGCCCTGCCCCAAGTCGGCATGGGCGGCCCACCCCCCGCTCCTTCCTCCGGTTCGTCTGGCTTCGGCGAATTCGGTGCACAACAGGGTGGCCAGGGTAGGGAAAACGTCAACCCTCGTGGCCGAGGCGGTGGCAGTGCTGGCGGCTCCGGACACACCCGCCGTCACTCGCTAGCTCTCGCCGACGCGAAGAAGGCTGCCGAACAGGCCGAATCGAAGAGAAAGACTTCGGGCTTCCAGTTCCCCATCCCCGGCTCGACCGAGGGCAGCTCCAACCGTGATGCCAGCCCCAGTGGAAACAGCGCTTCCAACGACACTTCCGCCCGTGGTGGACGAGGTGGCCACGGCCGCAGCCAGAGCATGGCTGTCGGACGCGGCGGTGGAAGTGCTGGCCGTGGCGGTCCTTCCTTCTCCTTCCCAGCTACCAGCGAGAACCCTACCAACCAGAACAACGGACAGCAGTCTGACTTCCAGCGCCGTGGCAGCCAAGGCCATGGCAGGAGCCAGTCTCGCAACTTCGAGGGCAACTGGAGACAGCCCCAGAACAACACCCAGCAACAGCCTACGCAAGACAACCAGTCCCAGAACATGGGCAACTTCAACATGAACCAGACCGCCAATGCCGCTCCTTTCCAGCCTGGCCACCGCACTCGTGGATCGGTCAACCAGTCCGTTGGTTCCCTTGGCAACTTCCAGTACGGCGGCCAGCCTCAGATGCAGATGGGCAACCAGGCCCAGCTTCTCCTGCAACAGCAGATGTTCGGCCAGCCGCTAAACCCCATGCAGATCGCTCATTTACAGGCTCTCCAGGCCGCCCAGATGCAGGGCGGCGGTCTCGGAGGCAGCCAGCATGCACCGCAGATGGGCATGCAGCAAAACCAGCAGCAGCAGCGCAAGACGCTATTCACTCCTTACCTCCCGCAGGCCACCTTGCCCGCTCTCCTCGGCGACGGCCAACTCGTTGCCGGAATCCTCCGCGTCAACAAGAAGAACCGCAGCGATGCTTATGTCACAACTACTGATCTGGATGCTGACATCTTCATCTGCGGTAGCAAAGACAGGAACCGAGCTCTCGAAGGAGATCTTGTCGCTGTCGAACTTCTTGACGTCGACGAGGTCTGGGGTCAGAAGCGCGAAAAGGAAGAGAAGAAGAAGCGCAAGGACAACGCAGACCCTCGCGGCGGTAGTATCGCCGTCAACGATGCCACTACCCAACCTGAGACTGGCTCTGAGGGTGGCATCCGCCGACGTGGCAGTCTCCGCCAGCGACCCACACAGAAGAAGAACGACGATGTTGAAGTCGAAGGCCAGAGCTTGCTCCTCATGGAGGAGGAGGAGATCAACGATGAGCTCAAGCCTTTGTACGCAGGTCACATTGTTGCTGTTATCGAGCGTGTTGCTGGACAGATGTTCTCAGGGTAAGCAAGCACATAATCTTCATTCAAGTACTTCACTAATCACAGCCACAGATCCCTTGGACTCCTGCGTCCCAGCAGCCAAGCCACCAAGGAGAAGCAGGAAGCTGAGCGACAGGCTCGCGAGGGCAACTCCGGTCGCTCCCAGCCAGAGACCCAGAACAAGCCTAAGATTGTCTGGTTCAAGCCAACAGACAAGCGTGTGCCTTTGATCGCCATTCCCACCGAGCAAGCCCCACGTGACTTCGTCGAGAAGCACCAAGACTACGCCGACCGCATCTTTGTCGCATGCATTAAGCGATGGCCCATCACCTCTCTGCATCCTTTCGGTACTCTTGTCGAGCAGCTCGGTGTCATGGGTGACCTTAAGGTGGAAACCGACGCACTACTGCGCGACAACAACTTTGGTCCAGATGACTTCTCCGACGCTGTCATCAAGAACGTCGGCTTTGAAGACTGGTCCGTCACCAACGACGGCGAGGAGGCGCTCGAGAGCCGCCGCGACTTCCGCAGCGAGGAGACCTTCACCATCGATCCCAACGGCAGCAAGGAGCTTGATGATGCCATTCACTTCAAATACCTTGATGACGGCCGTGTCGAGATTGGTATCCACGTTGCTGATGTTGCCCACTTCATCAAGGCCAACTCGCTTGTTGACCGTGAGGCCAAGAAGCGTGGAACTGCGGTCTACCTTATGAACCGCACCGTGAACATGCTTCCGCCGCGTCTGTCGAACGACATCTGCTGCCTCAACCCTGGCGAGGAGCGCTACACAGTCAGTGTCGTCTTCAAGGTCGATCCTACCTCTGGTAAAATCTCAGATGATGAGACCTGGGTCGGCAAGGCTGTGATCAAGAGCTCTGGAAAGCTGTCCTACGACGAGGTCGACACCGTTATCAACGGTAACGACGGTCCAGTCTCGGCAGCCCGTGCTAAGGACATCAAGATGCTGCATCACATCTCCCAGAAGTTCCGCCAGGCTCGCTTCGGCGACCGCTCCAGCGATGTCAAGGCTCTGCGCCTCATGTACCAGCTGGACGATGAGAATGTTCCCGTCGAACAGAACATCTTCGATTCTTCCCCTGCCCACGAGTGCATTGAGGAGCTCAGCCACCTCGCCAACACCTTTGTTGCGAAGAAGCTCGCCACTGGCTTGCCAGAGAAGGCTCTCCTGCGCCGTCAGCCTCCGCCTAACCCCCGCCGCTTGACGACCATTGCAGAGCGTATGGGTGCCATTGGCTACGACATCAACACCGAGAGCAGTGGCACACTCCAGAACAGCTTGTTTGAGGTTGAAGACGATGACATCAGGAAGGGTATGGAGACCCTCGTCATCAAGTCGATGCCTCGTGCCAAGTACTTTGTTGCTGGCAGGCTGCCTCAGGATCAGTACCCTCACTATGCCCTGAACCTTCCCCTCTACACCCACTTCACCAACCCATCCCGCCGCTACGCCGACATCATTGTCCACCGCCAGCTGGAGGCTGTCCTCTCCAACGGTGCCATTGAGTTCACTGAAGACATCGAGGCTTTGGCCAAGACTGCCGAGATGTGCAACACCAAGAAGGACTCCGCCCATGCTGCTCAGGAGCAGAGCGTTCACATCGAGGCTTGCCGCAAGATGGACAAGGTCAGGCAGGAGAGGGGCGGTGATCTCATCGCCGAAGGTATCGTCCTTTGCGTGTACGAGTCCGCTTTCGATGTCCTTATTCCCGAGTGGGGCTTTGAGAAGCGCGTCCACTGTGACCAGCTTCCTCTTAAGAAAGCCGAGTTCGACAAGAACAAGCGTCTCCTTGAGCTCTACTGGGAGAAGGGCGTTCCATCGTCCAACTACATTCCCGAGGACGAGAGGCCGAAGCATGGCTCACTCAGATCCGCCAACGCTGCGGCTGCGGCGCGTGATGCTGAGGCGGCTAAGCAACGTGCGAGGGAGCAGGAAGAGGCCCAGCGCAGGCAGATGGACACTGGAACCATGTCGACCAACGAGGAGGCTGCGTTGTTTGATGATGACGACGATGACGACGACTCCAACGACCTCAACTCGAACATGGCCGGTGTTTCTCTCAACCCTGACCGCCCGACTCAGAGCATGCCTCCATCGCCTACCCGCCGCGATCTTGCTGGTGCTCCTCACCGTGTCAACTCCGACTCGAAGATCGCCCAAAGCGCTGGTGATGCTGCAGAATCCAAGTTGACCAACAAGGAGAAGTACCTCAGCTGGTTCACTCTGCGCGAGCAGAACGGCGACTACATCCAGGATGTGCGGGAGATGACACGCGTCCCAGTCATCCTTAAGACGGATCTGACGAAGAGCCCTCCGTAAGTAATGCCCATCACTACGTTCTGAATGTCACTAACCTATCTTTCAGTTGCTTGACCATCCGATCTCTCAACCCCTACGCTTTGTAGACGAGACGTCTCGCTCAGTCCGACCTGGTATCCGGCCTTTTCGGTAGCTTATGTCGACTTGGTATAGAAAATTGAATGGAGGATACATACTAGGTTGTGCAGGAGGAGATGAACGGTGATCTGTGTATTGTTTATTTGTATGCGACGACGATATCGGCAGTCGCGATATATCGTTGCAGCTCTTATACACAGTAATTTTCCGTAGTACAGTAATGTGTTTATCCCTGCGAGAGCGCCTCTGGCCATGCATAGTTCACTTTGGTTTCTTTTGGTACCCGCCTGCATTGACACCCACTCCCCACATCTCGTTCAGGCCTGGATAAGGCTGCTCAAGAGCCGTACAAGGCGACAAGGCAACGAAGTGAGCAACAGTGTGCCCCCTCATTGACATCCTGATTACTACATTGGAAACGCGGCCTCAGACAAAGATTGGTTGGTTTGAGGTGGAAACATACCGAATCGTGACCTCTCCTCGGCATGATCGAATGTGACAAGCCGCGCTATACGGCATCAGGTCGATGCCGTGCAATCCGAATCTTGACCAGCGGATCTGCGACTTCCCATCCCCTGTCAGAGGCGGTCTGTGTACCTGCATGTGTTTGCTGTAGCGAACGAGAGCCTGACGGCCTGAACCGCAGCCGAAATAGCAGTGGTTCTCCATGAGGCTTGGCAACGTGAAGACGTTTTGGGTGCATCAGCCACCCGATAATCCATCCCTCTTAACCTTTCAACCCATCTGGGGTTCTCTCGGCGCAACACGCAAGCGCTCACGACACCACGATACCCTTATAGAAGTATTTACAATCATGACTGCGCTATGAAATACGGCCAGTAGCTTGATGTTGAAACGTTTCGCTAGCTCTTCGCTGCTGGAAACACACCCCACCAGCGTCATGACAGATGAGGAGCCCGACTGCTTCAAGCCTCAGATGGTGAGCCACCTCACGGATCCGGTCGGAAAGTCAGAATACCGCCATTAATCGCCATGCACTATTACGGTACCCAGGTTTTCTCGAGGGCGGCTCTACTGCCTCCGCGCACGCGTTGGCACTTGTAGGGTTTCATGATAGCCGTTTCGCGTCGCAGGGCCCCGGACCTGCTACATCACATGCCGGCACCACGAGCCCCATCGCCACAAGCCGGGCTTCCTCAGCGGTTGCTACACTGCTAGCGAGCAGTTCCTGGACGATCAATGGGTCGATTTGCCAAGCTTTGAAGCTTGTAGGGTCACGGATCCAGTATGGAGGCCAGTGCGCCAGCGGGAGGCAGTCGTCCGCCACATGGTCAACATCCGTACTCCGAATTTTAAGATGGCGTCTCAGATGGTGCCCAGGAGTTGCAGCTGCTTGTATAAGGTCCATTGGCCGCCCACCTTGTTTCCATACTCGTTTTCAGTTGGATCATCAACGAGCTTCTTCTACCTTCCTACCTAATAATCAACCACATTCCTTACGGTTTACCTTCTTTCAGTCCCTGGTTGGACTTTAGACAATTTTTAATAATCGAATTCAAAGCAAGTCTTTGCTGGCGGTCTCTCTTTACGAACTTGTCTACTCGAAAACAATCCAACAAACCTAATTCAACCAACATGCCTAGCGTATCAACCATCCTCAAGGGCCTCGTTGCCCTGGCGCCTCTCGTGGCTGCCGCCCCCGCAAACTACGCCCGTCAAGAGATGGCTTCCATGTCGAGCGCTGCCGCCTCTGCCACCTCCTCTGCGCCGGCTGCCATCACTGAGACCGCTGGATCTGGTAGCGAAGCTGCCGCCGCATCACCGGCTGCAGCTGCACCGGCCGCAGCAGGAATGTTGAGCGATGTCGACATCCTCAACTTGTAAGTAGCTTTGAATCAACGACCACAATGAGCTGGATCTAACAGTCACTGCAGCGCTCTGACCGCCGAGCATCTCGAATCAGAATACTACAAGCAGGGTTTCGCCAAGTTCTCCATGTCCGACTTCATGGCTCTCGGTCTGAGTGAAGGTCAAGTCAAGTCCCTGATGGGCGTTGGTCAGACTGAGGCCACCCACGTCACTACTCTCCAGTCCGCCATCGCAGGAGCCGGCGCAAAGCCCGTCGAGCCATGCCAATACAACTTCGACGCCGCCCTTACCAGCGCCGACTCCATGGTCAAGACCGCCCGTGTCCTTGAGGCCGTCGGTGTCTCCGCCTACCTCGGTGCCGCTCCTCTCGTCAACTCCTCCGACATCCTCTCCGCCGCTGGTTCCATCGTCACTGTCGAGGCCCGTCACCAGGCTTTCATCCGTATCGCATCCGGCGCCGAGCCCGTCCCCGCCGCTTTCGACACTGCTCTCCAGCCCCGCGCCGTCTTCACCCTCGCCGCTCAGTTCATCAAGTCCTGCCCCGAAGGCTCCAACCTCAACATCCAGGCCTTCCCTGCCATCGCTCTCCAGAACCCCGAGAAGGCTACCGTTGGCCAGAACTTGAAGCTTGCCGACCCCGCTCAGCCTGCCGGTGCCTCTTTCTGCGCTTTCGTCGGACCGTAAGTCACTCCACACACTCCTTTACAATGAACCGCAATCTAACATCTCACAGTGGCGGCAACCAATTCACCAAGATCGCCGATGGCAACTGCATGGTTCCCCAGGGCCTCCAGGGAGAAGTCTACATGATGATCACCAAGAGCGAGTCCGTTGCCGATGCCGAGGTCCTTGCCGGTCCCTCCGTCATCCAGCCCTCATAGACGTCTTCACCCACATGACGAGACGAACTTTCAGAACGCATTGTCTTTCCCATTTCATCATCATCATTTCCAAAAAGAGAAAAGACAGGGGCTGAACGACCAAGGGGCCAGTGGGCGCGAGCAGAAGCATTACAGGAGCGAAGGGCGCGACTGTCGAAAGCGAGTATGTGTATATGGACGATTTACCTTTCCTCACAGTCGTTGAAATACAAGCGTTGATCTCAAGAACGGTTTTTTTTTCCTATTCATTTTCTTTCCTTTTCAGCATGTGGTCAATGGTGGACAGTTGTAGAGAGAGACAGAGAGCACGAGAGAAGAGACAACAGGATACCCCCAGCATGGAGGATGGCATGGTAACGGGTGAGCGTCGATTCCGCGAATCAGCTCAGAAATGGAGGTAATAATAGCAGGTATAGCATGAAATGAGAACGATTAACGATTTTCATATCTGGAACTGCGGTTGATACAAGTGACATGTCACAGTTTTTGCGACGTGGATTGCGACGTAGAGTGACGCGACTAAGTTGTCTTGCGACTGTGACTGTGTTGGTTTCAGCGTCCTCGCATTTTGTCGACGCTTTGGGTTTGGTGCGAGGTCTTAGTCGGGTTTGAGTTGGTCCGTAACAATGTGATTAATAACACGCCGTGACATTCAAACGCATGTGTATGTTTTCGAAGTTGCGGTGTCATACTCCATCTCTCTACCAGATCTCTAGGCTTTAGTTATGGCCGTAGTTGTACTGTAGTAATTTCAAGATAGCTAGCGGCGGTTTACTCACGGAAAGTTCGCACCTTCCGAAGATCAACCGTCCCCTTCCCTTTTTGGCCAGCTGGGCAGTTCGATCCACCAGCCACCTCGTTGCTGATTAGCCGTATGTCGGACCGGCTGCAAAGTGTGGGGATCCCACCCATTCCCCGCCTTGTGCGCGTGTGCTAGAGAACGTCGGCGGTGGCTAAAAAAGATATCGTCTCGATGGAGTGGTTGCTCGCAGTTTTCGGCTGCTTTAAGTAATAGTTGCGAGTTTGCTACGTTATGGACCTAAAGTTGAGATTGGGGATATAAAGGGCTTCGTCGAGTGGTGGTTGTCTTGTCGTGCGCCCTTCTTGGTATTGAGGTTATTGAGCTTGAGGGTGGAAAACGTCATACCTGCCTGCCTTTGGAGGAGTTGGGTCAAGCTCGTATCTGCGCTGCGCGTATCTCGTCAGCCCTTTTTACTTTTTACCGCTACTCTTGGCTTTATATCCCTCTGACTCCAAAGCTTCGACATCGGGCTTCCTCTTCATCCACATCGTCCCTTGGAATGACAATAGGTCGCAACTAGTCTGTCAACCGTCGCCATCTCAACAACCCAAAAATGGCGCTGCACCACCAAAACGGCACCTCGTCAACCTGCCTCGAGCAGCCCATCGAACTCCAAGACGTATCGAGCTATATCTCCAAACCTCAAGATGCACAGATCGCTAGTTCGAGCAGTACAGGCGGCCTGCGACTCTCGGATACGAAAGGTGCTCGGGAAAGCGACCCGATAGAGAATCTGCCGTCGCCAACGACACAAGCGCCAGCCAAATTGGAACGATGGAACCATCCACGATCGAATTTATTCAAGACTATGGCGGCGTTTTGGAGTTTCGTCGTCATGGGGAGTAATGATGCGGCGTATGGTGCTTTGATTCCTTATGTAAGTCAACGTCGTTCTTCTGAGTGTAGAAGTCGCGACTCTTGAGAAGGGGGAAAGAAGCGCGTGCTAACAAACGTTTTCAGTTGCAAGAATACTACGGTCTGACTTTCGTCGTCATTTCGCTAGTATTCTTGTCTCCACTCGTCGGCTACACAGCTTCCGCGTTATTGAACAACAGCATCCATCTCAAGTTCGGCCAGAGAGGCGTTGCGGTTATAGCGCCGACGTGCCATCTCATCGCGTACATCGTTATTGCGGTGCACCCTCCGTATCCGGTGCTTGTTATTATCTTTATGCTGGCTGGATTCGGGAATGGACTTGCTGATGCGGCGTGGAGTGAGTATCCTAATCTCTTCTTCTCTGTTCCGATAAAAGAGAAGGTGAAGAACAGAAAGACGGAAAATTTCGACTGACAATACAACGCACAGATGCCTGGATCGGCAACATGGCGAACCCAAACGAAGTTCTCGGTTTCCTCCACGCCTTCTACGGCGTAGGCGCCGTGCTATCCCCCTTGATAGCAACGACTATGATCACAAAAGGAAGCAGACTACCATGGTACACCTTCTACTACGTCATGGTACTGTCCCCTCCCTCATCCCTCCTCATTCCCCCATCTCTAACACCTTTAGATCGCAATGGCAGCCATCGAACTCGCCACCTCAACAACCGCCTTCTGGCGCGAAACCGGCGCCGCCTTCCGCGCAGCCAACCCGCGCACCAGCGGCACGAAAGACAACCGCATGAAAGAAGCGCTTATCCGTCTGCCTCACGCACGCGTCACGTGGCTGTGCGCACTCTTCCTACTCGGATACGTGGGTATTGAAGTTGCGCTAGGTGGCTGGATTGTCAAGTTCATGCTTGAAGTGAGGGATGGAGAGGAGTTTGCGAGTGGCATGGTGGCGACGGGGTTTTGGATGGGGATTACGGTGGGGAGGATTGTGCTCGGGTTTGTTACGCCGAGGTTGGGGGAGAAGTTGGCTATTACTGTGAGTCTTTTCATCGTTTCTTGCTCTCTTTCTTTCTGTCTTATCCGTACTAACTCAATTCCATCAGATCTACCTCCCCCTTACAATGGCCCTCGAACTCATCTTCTGGCTTGTCCCCCAATTCTATGTCTCGGCCGTCGCCGTAGCCCTGCAGGGCTTCTTTCTCGGTCCCTTGTTCCCGGCTGTAGTCGTCGCAGCTACGAAGCTACTACCGCGCCACTTGCACGTCGGTGCTATTGGCTTCGCGGCGGCTTTCGGCGGAAGTGGCGCTGCCATCTTCCCTTTTGCGGTTGGAGCTATCGCACAAGCCAAGGGTGTACAGGTACTACAGCCGATTATTCTGGCGCTGTTGGGCGTGATTCTACTGCTTTGGTTGGGTCTACCGAGGATACATAAGAAGGAGGAGTGAGATATTTGAGGGTGTTGGGAGGATTGTAGGCTCTAGAGATGTTTGCTGTGTGATGGAATTGGGATATGCAAGGAAGCTACTGACACGCTTTGCGAAATGGATAATTTCGGCCATCCTCGAACCAACAATTTCATACCCGCCAAAGCTTAGCTTGGTTTACCACCCCACACTCTTCCTCTCAATCTTCTCCTCTCTTTCCCTTGTCATCTTACCCTCCTTCACCACCGCGCCAATTTCCATCACACCTACCAATTGCCCAGGTATCAGCACTCGACGTCCCACACTCCCTACATATACACATATGAGAGACTTACCAGTCGAACGGCCCACCCTATGCATAGCTTTGTCCCACAGGTGGTCTATCGCATCGACCGGGGTATCCATTTCGTGGCTTTGCTCAACAAGCCTCCAGCTATTCCCGGATGTAGTTGGTGTGACGGCGAATAGTTTCGCAGTGTGGAGGGTGGTAGATGTTACTGACCTAAGGGCTGTGTGTATCTCAGTACGTGCTTTCCTTGCGGTGAAGATGACCTTGTAGCAAGTAGTGTTGTTGGAGCTTTCTGTAACGAGAAGAGGCGCAGTTTCTAGTTGCCGATGGCTTGTTAGCTGGTCGGTTTCTGGTTTTCAACACGCCTCATGCTTTATTCTTTTGTTCCATCTAAGTAAGACCTGTAGATGATACTACATGCGCACGTACCGATGATCCATCCCTTGACTGCTTCAGTGAACTGAAGTTGCTCCAGTTTGTCTAATCCTGCTGCTTTCGAGCTATTGAACGCGTGACTGTGCTTTGTCACAACATTGACCGTCGGTAGTGGCGCTTGTGTCTCAGGGAAGAGGCGTATCGATGGTTTCTTGATGGCGTATTTTGGCGGGGGCGCCGGTTCTTTGCTGGCATCGTTGCTCGCGGAGGTAGAAGTTTCGGAAGAGGAGGAAGGTACGAATGTGCTTCTGATGATTAGGTCGTTGATTCGGGCTCTGAGGTCGGCGATCTGCGGGATAAACATAAATGGAGTTGTCTGATTGGTTCTGGTGAGATCGAAGGTTTGGGTACGCGATGTTATGTGGAAGAAAGCTGAGAGGAAACATGTGGGTATCTGAGAGTTTGAACATGGCGAGCCTGGAAAACGTGGCAAGTGTCGTGGGTGCTGGGGGCGTTCGAGGGATGGTGCGCTGGATGCGAATGCTCCTGCTTCTGATGCGATTGAAGAAGGTACAGGGTACGGACCAGCCACTCGACTAACACATAGACATTGAATTGATGCATTATGAATCTAAAAGGGGAAAATACATTCTATACGTTCAGGGAAGCGACTTGATTACACCTTGACCATTCTACCTGCCACTCGCTGATTTTCAAGACTACAAGATCGGGCCCTCTTCAACTTATGGTTATTGTTTAGCCCTCGCTTCTAGTACGAAGCCACCTCCGCCTTATCTTTCTCTCCCTCGATCGTACCCTCCCTCTCTTCAAAAGCCTTGGCTAAACCCTTAGCCTTCTCCTGTGCAATCTGCATTCCTGCACCTGCGGCAGCTTTGAGTCCATCCGCCATGGAAATCGCAACCTGCTTCATCATGACCATAGTATCACCGCCTGCAAACACACCTCTGACACTTGTCTCGTTGAACATTGCGTTTGCGATCTTGATGTGTCCGCCCATCGCTGGATCCACTGTCTCGACGCCAAGCTGCTCGATGAGATGTTGCGCGCGATTGACCGTAATAGGCCTGTGAACGAGGAAACCGAGAGTGACTGGTTCTCCAGTCTCAAAATGGATTGTGACGCCATCTATGTGACTTGGGCCGTTGTTCACCATGCGAACGATCTTCCGCTCGTCGAGCGTTGCACCGAAAGCCTTTGCGAGCTTCAAAGCGTCTTGCATTGGCGCTTCCTTCTTGATGGGTCCGCTGGTAAACAAGGTA